TGGGTTGAGCCGAGCCATTGCCAACCCTATGCTCATTGCCACGAAAGCTTTAATTGTGCCTTGTATTCCCGATCTCAGGTAAACAAGCAAGATCTGAAGAAAAGCTTGCTGATGATAAATAATGAGATGTTTGACACTTGATAATTGATAGGACTCAAACATTACAATGAACAAGATTTCAAAATTTTCTTCGTTGCTGAGTTGTTTTGGTTGCTGATCAGGTCTATGTAGTACTTTGGTAGATTTAGCGAGATTGGATTTTTATTTTTTTGAGATCATTTTGATTTGCAGTGAGTTGCCGAGGGAAAAAATGAATAGAGAAGAAGTTTGCACATTTGCGAAAGGTGGTTTCTGAGTCATGTAAGATGAATTGTTTAAAACAATGTATGTAATTGTGGTTGGCTTGCATGACCTCTTCAGGGCTAACCGCCCTTTTTTTTCCGGAAGTTCCAAGGACTCGACGAAAATCATGGGATTTTAAATATTTTTAAGATTTTGCTACTTGTTGATGAGGACATCACTTGTTTGGGCCAGCTTATTTTACTTATGTTTTATTTATATTGGGCTTGTATTAATGGGTCTGATCCAAACCCTTTATGTTTAAGTTTGCTTATTTTATATATGTGCCTTGTATTGCAACATTAAGAGGATGATGAGATGATATGAAATTGTGTTTGGCTTGCAGCCACAGCTTTCATCTCTTGCTTCTCCTTTTTTCCCCTAGTTTCTTCTTCGGTTTCTCCCCCTTCTTGCTGCCCTCATCTTCTTGCTAGAATTCTTCTTCAAGTTCTGCTACTCTGTTGTTTTAAGATCTTGTAGGAATTCCCTTTTATCCTGTATCAAAGTGGCATCAGAGCTAAACTTGGAAATCATTTATCTCCTACAACCATTGCAACAAACCTGATCACCCTAGTCAACTTTGTTCTGAAACAAATCGACAGTTGCAAAACCCACCACAACGTACACCATTTTTTTTTTATTGATTCCCACCACCAAAACCGCTTATACACCAACTTTTACCAACCCATAATCCATTAACCAGAAAACCTCAATCCACGTCAATGAAAAAAAAAGAGAGAAAGAAACTACCACAAACAATAACCATCTCATGCACGATCCACTATGCCAGAAACTAGGGATGTCAACGAGGTGAGTATGAGACGGGTCAACCATTCCCCCTCTAAGACGAGTTTAGGTGCAATTATGCGCTCATTGACGCACATTATCATCATTTTTTTTATTTTTTTATTATTAAATTTTGTGTTGTTAAAGAATTATCAATGGCTGATTTCTTCATTTTGCCTTAATTTAAAACAACCACTTGTAATTGAAGATATGAAAGAAGAATTAGAGTCCGATAAAAAGTTAATTAAGATTTAAGTCCTTATACTATTTATTTACTATTTTGTATGAAATTTATCTTTTGTTGGAAATTTTGAAAAAATGTATAACGTTCCTATAAATCTGTTTTAAATGATTAGTAAGTATTGTTTTTAATTATTAAATAATTTTTTGATTTATTAAAAATTAAAATAAGAAGATGCCTTTTTACGCTTTTTTACACCTCAACCTCGCCTAAGCTTTCGTAGCCCATGACTTGACCTTCACGGATTACGCCTTTTAGAATACTGAAAAAAGTGAAAAAAAAAATGCATTTTCTATTATTTGTAGATATCTCTTTTTACTCCTGTTGATTTGGCATGGCTACTTCAACGAGCAAAAGGGAAGTTACTATTTTTATTTATTATTGATTTATATAAGTGTTTTGTTTTAAACTTGCATCAATTAAAATTTTGTATTGCTTTTATTCTAGTTTTTACCTAAACTCACGTAATTGGATCATTAACTTCGTTAAGTTCCACTTTTCCCTCACCTATTTTACGTTATTAGGTTTTCACTAGTATTTGACCCTTGTCTTACTAATTACATATACCAGTAGTATCAGTTTGTTATATTTGGATTTATTTAGTCCCACAATTTATTTATTTTTTAAAAAAAGGAGATAAAATGCTCAAGTTGATATTTTTTCATTGGTTGCATTTATTGTTCATTGATCTCTCCATCGCACCTCATTTAGCTGGTATTACAATACATGCAGCTACATAGTAATCATCTTGTCACTTCTAGTTCAATTACCTTAAATATGGACCCCTCATAAATTGATGAATTCATCCGACAAATAGCAGCTATCCAAACCTAGATGACTGTTACTTTGGAAGATAGTAAGGCCCTATCTGCTAATTTGAACAACTTTAAGCAAATCCCTCGTTCAACTGACGTTCATAAATCTAAAGTGTCTCATAATAGACAATATTATCATCGACAGTGTGATAAAAAAATGCTTTCGACACGAACGTAGGGATAGGGATCATGTTCGTAAGCAAGAACGAGGCTATGATTGTCATGGTACTCACTCACTTCCTCATCGTAAGGAGCATTTCTGTAGAAATATTAAAGGATATGCTTCTACTTTAGATAGTTGCTTAGATTTTGAAATTTTTACTCGATAGACTACTCTTAAACAAGGGAATCAGTTAGTGATTGTGTATATTGCTTGTATTAATGGGTTTGGCCCAAACCCTTTATGTTTAGATTTGCTTATTTTTTATATAGGTGCCTTGTATTGCAACATTGAGAGGATGATGAAATGAAATGAAATTGTGTTTGGCTTGTAGCCACGGCTTTCATCCCTTGCTTCTCCTTCTCTCCCCTAGTTTCTTCTCTGATTTCTTCCCCCTTTTCTCTCTGATTTCTCCCCCTGCCTTCTTCTTCTTACTGGAATTCTTCGTCTTCAGGTTTAAGATCTCTACAGGAATTCCCTTTTATCCTGCATCACTTGTACGTAAAAAATGTATGCAATGGATTACATAATATGATATGGATAGAAAATATTGGATGAAAAAGTTGATTGTTTTTTAAATTGACAAATGATAGAAAGTCATATAACATTATATAATTCATTATGTAAATCTTGATTTTATATTGAATCATTAATGTAGGAAAAAAAAAGGTTTGGGATCGTGTGCTTTGAGTAGGACAATTATGGATGCATTATTGGATTTAGTAATTATATTCCGTTTTGAGTTGGAAAAAAGTAATAGAATGTTTGACGGAATAAACCAACTTAACCAGGTCTTTTTCCATTTCCCCCCCTTTTTTTGGGTTTTGATTAAAATTGGTTTTTTTGGTAAATTTTGATCAAAATTAGCCTCTGTTTGATGGCTATTATTTGGCAAAAATAATATTTTGAATAATGAATTTTTGGAGAATATGTTATTAAAAGTAGGAGGGTGTTTGACACCAATTTTTATGAAAAAATGAATTTTAGAATAGTAGATTGATGGAGGATGTGTGGATAAAAAATGAGGAAAACAGGAGCTAGATCTTGAATGATTCATTCATGCTCGAGGGTAAAGGCAGATGTAATAGAAATTGTGATCGAACTGTACACAACTTGATTTTGGAAGATCAAATATGACACTGAAAATTGAAGATCTGCTCCTCTTTCATATTGAGCCATTGAATCACAGAAGCAGCATGATGGGCGCAAAATCCTAACAAGTTATCACGAACGAGCTACATGTATGAGCTTTACATATTTGCTTAGGGAGTAGGTGAAGTCTTTTCTATTAGGAAAGTAAAAAAGTTGAAATTCAAGAAGAAAAAATCCCTTCAGAAATTCTTTTGTGGTTTCATATGTAATTATGAGACCAAAACCCTCTTTTACATTACGAAAAGAAATTTACTTCTTTATATTTAGCCCATGTTTTACAAATCTTTTATAAGAAATTAGGAGTTTAAAATAGGGTATATTTAGTCCCATTTTGGTCTCCATTATAATTAAAGTTTTGATTAAAAAGCAGTAACAAATGTTCAAATATTTGACTCTCGAAAAAATAAGACTTGCTAGTTTTCATAGCTCAGTTGGTTAGAGCACCTGTTTAGTAAGTCTTGAATTCAACTCTCAATGAAAGTATTGTTCAGAATGCATATTTTTTCCATAAAATTTATGACATTTATATCGACTACTTGCACAAATTTCTTTGACGTTCTCAACAATAAATGAATAATAGGTTGTATTTTTTTTTTCAAATTAATTGACTTTTTAATATAGAATTTTCAATGATAATATCATTTTAAATTTTTCGATGAAATAATTCGACCATTACCATTACCATCACTACCAACATCAGTGTCACTTTCTTTGCTTTTAAAAAAATTAAGCGCTTTTGAAAAGCATAAGCAGACAAGCCATGTTTTTGATATTTTAATACATCATGGAATTGATGTTTGTGTTGACATAGTTATGTTTATCCACGAAAATTTCCCATTTATATATAGTTGACGGGTTTTTAAAAAGTTAAAAGTTACTTTTGAAATTAAAATTTTAATTTTACATATGTTTGAATGATTTTTTTAAAAGTGTTTCGTCTGATTAAAAGAGTTTTTAATCACTTTTCGATAAAGCTCTTTTATAAAAAGTAAAAGTTAGCCTCCACCAAACGGGTCATAGTAACGTTTCTTTTTGCAGTGGAAAACAAGTAGATTTTCAAAAAGTGGACAGTGCCATGTATAAAGCAAGGAAAATAAATTTTTCATAAGAATATGCTATGATGAATTTATGACGACAGGATTGCGTCCCACTCAAAAAGTTTTAAATAGACCTAAACCCAAATAAAAACAGTTCATTCTTAATATTATCAAAAGCACCTTTGTAGGAAATAATTCTTTAAATATGCGATGTGACGCTATACAAGGAGTTACTAATAGGACTATGTTGATACCTAACGTAATGTTTGGCTAAGCTTTTCTAAGTTTCTTCTTATTTTTGCATAGAAAAGCTTACTTTATTAATCTTCTTGTCAAAATATATAAGTGACTTATAATATGTTTTCAAACTATTATCTTTTTCCTGTTTCAAAGAAAAAAAAATCATAAAAATACAAATACTATTTTGTAAAGTCCTTATCCAAATTGAATTATAAGTCAAGATTAGGGTGTGAAAAGTCCATAAATAATTCAAATTTGAATGACAATTTTTCCAATTTCAACAACATCCAAATAATTCCATGCTTGATAGCATATCAGCATCATCAAGTTTCTTCCCATTAGAATATGCATAATAGCATCAGCAGCAGTCAGCCTTCAACTTGGAGACTGACTGCTTGTGATGTTATAGCACTTCACAAGGCAAGCACAGAAAATTGTCGAACCACCTCGTTTAAAAGCTGCATTTGATGAAACAAATCTATAATATCTCGAGTTTTAGACGAGGCGATTCAACGTTCAGAACCCTCCACCCAGAGCTGGAGTCCAGCAATCAGATCCTCCATTAATGTCATGTCCCACATGTTGAGTGAAAGACACAGGAACCAAACACAGACCTCTACTTCTCAAGTCATTAACTTGGCTTTGTTTTCCCTGACATCGTCAAATCAAACAACATATATTTCAGTAAAATTCTTAACACGTGCTTAGTTATAATAAAGTAGTATTTGTTTATCACCAAATCATTGAGTTTAAGGAAAAAAATTTACCTGCTTAGATGCCTCTCTACCTTCGCATCCAATCTCATTGAAGAACTGGATGAAGGGCAAGGAGGGAAAAAAAAAAAAATTAAATGTCAGAAACTAAGAGATTATTACATTAATTATTTAGAAATGAAATGAAGTTCAATAAAGCTGAAAAGCTTGTATTTACAGAGACAACTTTGTCAATTAAATACAGACTATATGCTTTAGCAATTCTAGGCCACTTTAGGCAAGTGGAAGATCCCATATAGCTTACCTGAACAGGCTCGTCAGGAAATAAACAATTCCTTTCTTGAACCTGGGAAAAAAAAATTGTTCTTGATCATTAGTTAATTCCATAACTATATATAAACCACGATTGCATATCTAAATAAGCTATGAAGTATGGATTACACCTTAAAATAGCATGTTTGTCTTTGATACATATTGAATACCATCACTTCTAGTTCAGTCACTTGATGACACGGGTCTCATTACGCTGTTGGACGCAAGTCCAACATGCCACATTAGTATATAATTTTAATAGACATGTCTCCATGTATCAATTTCTTTCGTTTCAAAAAAGGACGGGTTGTGTCATGTACCAGTCTTCGTAGTCAATGTTTGTACTTTTTGTTCGATGTGGTGTCAATGTGTGTATTTGTGTGTGAAAAAGAGTGAGGATCTCGGTCTTGCATTGGAAAATGTGAAACTAATGCACTTATGTAGATACTTACAGATAGCTGGCGACCTGTGTTTCCTGATCCATTGCGCATATATGGAGAGTAGAGGGCCTGAATCCAAAGCACAAGTAAATGGTAATGAACAAAATGTAAAAAAAATGAAAAAAGAATTTAAAATTTTTTCGTTTTAGTACGGAGGAGAATTTACTATTCACTACACAGAATATGAAGCATTACCTCAATTTGAGCTTGAAGGAATCTAATGTAGCCAATGGTTTCGGACAAGACAGATGCAGTGTCAGTCTGCAAAAGGGAGACATGCCACAAGGATCCAAGTCATCTTCATCGAATTAAAGTCTACTTTTAATCTTAAAAGACAGGCCAAGATGGGAAGATTAAAGTTAAAAAACAGATCTTTTTCTCTTGGAATATTTATGGGTTTCATCTTAAATAAATATTTATGCTTCTGTTCAGTGGTCAGTGTCTTCAACATGGACTGTACATATATGTAGATATGTTTTACCTTTCCAAATGGGGAAACAAGTTGGTGAAGAGTTGTAATTCGATCACCCAACTTCTCTTTTCTTACCTGCATCAAGATTATAGTAAAATTTTATATGAACTCAAGATCAATATGCTAAAGAATCTGATAAATTTTTGAAACAAAATCCTGCCTAGGCTTAGCCAGTGTTTCGCCAAAAAGAAAAAGAAAAAAATTGAATATGGAAACCCACAAATAGAGAGAAATTTCTGACCTTCAAAGCCGGTTGAGTAGATAATTGTTGAACCCTTGGCTTCTTAGATATCCCACCAGTGATCGTGCTATTACACTTACACAAAGGAATAAAAGGAGAAAATAATCAAGAAAAACTGAATAATCGTAAACTACATATCTCAGTTTGATTATTAAAAATGATTCTAATTTAGTAAAATTCAAATTGCTTCATTATATCTTCACATAGTTACCATGAATCTTTTGACATTAGCCTCTCTAATGAAGAAAATAAAAATCTTTCATTGACTATCGCTTAAAAAACGAAGGACGGAAATTTCCTCACCTCAGTTGAATATTGATCGGGAGTCTTTCGATTTCCCTTGGCATTTGAGAAATTCAAGATGCTGTTGCTTAAACTTGTTATATAGGAATTAGGGGATGAAACTGGGATAACTTGAGGCCAAGAGGATTTACATGCCTGAAATTCATCATCTACTTGACTGTAAATATGGCCTCTCTCTTGCTTTACCTCACGAGCAGGAACCCTAAAAGATGATGAGTTCAAAATTTGGTCTTCCCAATTCTCCAACTTTTTCCGTTGCAAAAGAATGGTATCAAACCTATCTTCATCGCCAGTAAATCCACCCCTGAAGAAGTACAATCATTGGAGTCAAACCAAAAAATAATAATAATAAAAATAAAAATAAAAAATCGTAGCGAAATTGAGCTAGTTAAAGTACAAAGTTATGTTAAACACTTCGTTAAAAAACATACGCAATTAGAGAGCTTCAACGTCTCCTCATGGAATCTTTTTTTTCATCAAAGGCCTTACGTGCGTACAATCAATTTTCATAATTGGTGGTAGTGAAATTTGAAACTTGATCCTATCACGTTTGCCTACTCTGAACTTAAGTTAAATCATCTTATCTAAAAGCTTAAAGCATTAAAGAGGGGACGCACAATGCATATATAAATCAAGAAGCATGAAGGGGAAAGTCGGAGGAATTAAAGAAGAAAATTTTAAATGCTGAGATTTAAAGCTACTCAGATTCAAAAGATTTGTTAAGCTATAACAAGAAAGTATACATGCTAGCTCCAAGCCAAGAACCAGGGCCAACTCCAAGAATCAAATCCCCCCACCCCACCCTTTACGAATACATAGTATAGACCTACAAATTATAGTGTATGCCTGCATGTATATGTATACATAAAGAGAGGCATATTTACAGTAGAAGTTGGCTCCATGACCGTACAGGAAAATCTTGATTGGGATGATGATCAGAGGAAGAGTTAGAAGAAAGTGAAGAAGATCCATACAAATATTCAGAAGAAGCTGTTGATAAATGACTTGAAGAAATCTGCTGCTGAGAGTACTGTTGATGCATGCCATTAATTCTCCACCAATTAGGGTTTCCAGCCATCACGTGTTTCTTTCTGAAATCAAAACCAAATTAAAATCCCTAAATCTTCAAGTATATCATGAAAAAATGGCTTCCCTATTTCATTTTTTCATCTTTAATCCCTTGTTTCTGTACCAAAAAGACTAGCTTTTGTTGAACCTTTTTCAGGGTTTGTTTTTTTGCTTTCTCAGAAGAGGCTGAGGAAAGTTCATGTCTTTTTCAACAGACTTTGTGCTTTATACTGGTGTGGGGTGGGGAGGGGGGTAGAGAAGCCATTGTAAATGTTTCCTCTTCTTCCATCTTTCATTTGTTTATTGTTTTTTTATATTCTTACTTTAGCTTTATCTTAAAGTGGGACAAATAAAGCTGGTGAGGAGTGTTTTCAGGCCAAAAAACAAATGCTTGTGAAGCTAATTACATCCTTGAATTAGGGCGATAGAGCTAGGTTAGGATCTGAATGTTTTATTGAGATGGTATGAGTGTTTTCTATTCGTATAATATTTGGTAATAAGAATGAACACTATAATGTTTTGCTTTCGTTCTCAATATTGTCTAATCGTATGAAATTCAACTTAAGAAACAAGCAATTATTTGATTCAACTAAACTTCTTAGCCCCTGTTTGGCCCCCATTAATTTTAATTACATTACATTTCATTTTTCTCTCTCTTATTTTCAATCACACAATTTTTCATAAAATAATAATACACATGAATCGAAAACTTTTCCTTCTCTTTCAACTACTCATTTTTCAGAAAACACTATTCCACCAATTTTCATTTCTACAAAATGGGAGCCAAACGAGGATTTAACTATGAATTTTTATAGAGCTTTGTTAGTATTTATGTTAGATTCTAAATGTTATAAGTTGAAAAACGAGAACGATATGTTTGATACTCGATACTAAATAAGATTACACGGTATTTTTTTTTTTTACTTTATTTTATTCTTAATACCGTTCATTACTTTACAATTGAGCTACTTAGGTTCAATAAAATGACCAAGTACATTTCTATGAATGCAGAAGATTATTAATTACGGTGTCAAGAATTTTCTTGATCATTCTTCAGAAATAACAATGGTATTTCCAAGAAAGCACTAAACGCTTTCACAAGATAAAAAGTAAATAGAATTCAGATAATTTATTTTTTCAAAGAATTAAAAAATAATTTAAAACAACAATGAATGAGAATCGTCTCAGCAACTGGCTATAGACATGAGTCAGCTGCTACAAGAGAGGAGAGAGAATTTTTGAGAGGGAGATGAATGACACATTGGGGAAAAATGAGATAGGCCTTCCAAGTCCTTGGATCATCAGTGGAAATGAATCATCTTGTCTAATATGTGTGGGGAAAATATCAAGAATTGTAGTTGGAAAAATATTGAATCGTTGTCTAACTACAAAAGAGAGTCTTCATTCTTGACTTAGTGGATGAGATGCCCAGCTAACACGTGAAACATTCTACCTACCCAAAATATATATATGAAAATCAATATGACATGATATGATTGCAAATGATTTAATTGTATTGAATTTTTTACTAATTTTAAATTGATCCGAAAGGAGGTTAGTTGGTTGTTCTTAATGAACAAAAAGAAATTATGGACTGTGATAATACCACCTTTACTTTGGCAAATTTATTTATCAATTTATAAAGAGGAATGCTAATAGATCGTACAAAAGGTGTGGATAATAAATGATGTTATTGTCTAATGCTATTATACAATGTGCCATGATTAGACTATCGATCCAAATTTTATTGTTTTACAATCTCCGATCCCAAAATGATCAAACGATACAATCTGCAAGACCCCTCTGTCAATCTAATCCAAATTTTATTGTCTTACAATCTCCGATCCCAAAATGACCAAACGATACAATCTGCAAGAACCTTCTACCGATTTGATTCAAAATTACATGCCATAAGGTGACAATAATTCTAACCATAGGGATGGTAGGTGAATACATAATTGGAGAATATTGTCACACACATAGCTACATACCGGTGGGGAACCAATGCTGTAATAGTTTATTCTATCAGAAAAAAAGCAACCCTTTATTGGGATTGTTATTGGGCTACAAAGCACTAAATAAGCTCCTCTAATTTGCACGCTTTTCCACAAGCGGGAATAACATATTAGTGTTACATTACATAAAATCAATAAGAGCCCTGATAAAAACCCTAATCCTGAACCTTCTCTGGATAAAGATGGAATCATTAACTATGCTAATTTCAGATCCCAAGTTTTATTCCGAATCACGCTGTTAATTTAATTTATGTACCAGATTTGTGAAAGTTTGGGGACTGTCACTGCAAATTTTCCGAAAGGAATTGATTTTGATCATTGGAAAGTTGGAAAAGGATTAAAATTATTTATATATGTGAATAAATGAATAATTGAGAACTTGGCGAATGAATAATTGACTGGAAAATTCAGGTACTCAATGCTGTGCATAGATTGCTTTATATAGGAAACTTGTTTCCTTAATTCTATGATAATGCCAACTTCAGGCCATTTTTATACATTATTTTTGTATTAATGCTGTCTTTTACATCGTTCACCTCGTAAAACTATCATTCTTTCTGAGTAAGATCGTGGACAGACCCTCATGTAGTTACATAGCAAGAACTAGCTCATTACATCTGGAGCTCTAAAATGATCGAGATCCAAGAAGATTATAATGGCGATACCTGCCAACAATAGACTTTTGCATTAACACAAGTTCAAACTTAGAAGTTGGTCAAACATCAGTTTTATTTACATATTTTATATGACTCTAAACTTTTTCATACACTCCAATGGCCCATAACTATAACCTTTAAAAAGTTTTACCAAACACACCAAGTATATAAAAAAAAAAAAAAGAGTTCTAAACATGTTCGGGTAAATTACTTCTTAATTTTATTTTTAAAAAATTACTTAATTTGATAGTAACTCTTATCTCAATATCAAAATAATTAATTCCAATTTTGACCAGTAAAAAAATTATTTTTAAACCTAAGTTCTGTACATGTACCTAAACTTTTTTAAGCTAAGACAAATATGCCTTGTGCCGGTTCAATTCCTGCTATCCACTACCTGATCTATATCCTCTAACCTATAATTTGCCAGTCAAAACAAGGCCATTTAAAATTTACGCTTTTTCGATAAAGAACTAAAGTTACCTTAAGCTATCAAGAAGTAATCCGAGATGGAGGGATTAGCGTCACATTGTCTAAAAATGCATTCAAATTTTATTGGACAACCTGGCAACTGACCACATAGACCAATCGTCATCGAGACTGTAGATGAATAGTATTATTCATATCATATCCATTCTTCCTTTCCATCTCCTAATCAGAATGCCGATAATTCAGAAGCAACTCTTTTGTCTCTTCAAATATTGGGTGACATTGGAAACGTTAACTCTTGCCTGCAAAGCAGCTTTCTCAATAAGACTCCTATACCTGCACATACACACACATTGTACATAGATCTAATCGCAGTAGATGCATAGATAAGTACATTGGTGGGTGGAAATCTATTCATCAACTTGCCTGTATCTGTTTGCGTGCTGGTATCAGTGTGGATAGTTTCATTATCTTGTGAAACTATTAAACAATGGGTTAAATCCATTGATGGTCACCCAACTTTAAACTTCATCATGCCATCCAATTTCATATAATGTTTCATCATGACCACCCAACTTCTTTTCACCATAACTTTGCATTATATATAAAAAAACAAGTTTTAAAATAAAATAAAATAAGAACTTATTTTAAAAAATATAAAATAAAATAAAAACTTAAATGAAATTGGATGAAAATGACGATTTTCGCAATCAAATGTTGAAATAGGGATTAAAATGCAAAAAATAAAAAAATAAAATAAAAATGTAACAATTAATGGAACGTTTTGCATAATGAATTCCACATGTAGAAATAACTTCTCCTATTAACTATAATTGTGTCAAACAATATCAAAACTAATCTTATCTAATCTAATTAAATATACTTTAAAAATCATATCTAAATTCTATTTTTTATTGTTATTCTAATCTAACAGGCTCAAGAGATGGCTCAGGAGGTGCACCACGGTTAAGAACAATCACGTTACCATCAGAGTCAACATCAACTATAACCGAATCACCTTCTTTGATTTCACGAGCAAGCATCTTCTCTGCCATGCTGTCCTCCAAAAGTCTCATTATAGCTCGTCTAAGTGCTCTTGCTCCATAGCTTGGGCTGTATCCTTCTTCAACGACCCTATCTCTAAATCTCTCGGTCACCTGAAGTTCGATATTTTTGCTTTTCAGTCTCTCAAATACCTCCTTTAGCATTATATCAGCGATCTCCTTCACTTCCAGCTTGGTGAGCTGCCGGAATACAATCATCTCATCCAATCTATTTAAAAATTCTGGCCTGAAATATTGTTTCAGCTCCTCTGTCACCAGGCTCTTGATCTGGTTGTAAGTGCTATCCTTCTCATTATAGTCTAGATCAAAACCAATACGACAACCTCCCTTCTCAATTACACTACTTCCTACATTTGATGTCATGATTAAGATGGTGTTCTTTAAGTCTACTGTTCTACCTTTGCTGTCGGTCAACCTTCCATCTTCAAGAATTTGAAGCATCATATTGAACACGTCTGGATGAGCTTTTTCAATTTCATCAAAAAGTACAACGGTGTAAGGACGGCATCGAACAGCCTCCGTAAACTGTCCACCTTCAGTGTAACCAACGTAGCCAGGAGGTGAGCCAATGAGTTTCGAAACAGTGTGTCTCTCCATGAACTCACTCATATCAAGCCGGATCATGGCTTCTTCTGAACCGAAGTAGTAGGCTGCTAGTGCTTTAGCCAGTTCCGACTTTCCAACACCAGTTGGCCCAGAAAAGATAAAGCTCCCAATAGGTCGGTTGGGGTTTTTCAGACCAACACGAGCACGGCGAAGGGCACGACTGATGGCTTTGACAGCTTCGTCCTGCCCAATGACCCGTGTGTGGAGTGTTTCCTCCATCTTGAGGAGACGATCAGATTCGTCAATAGACACTTTCTCAACAGGTATTCCCGTCCAGGAAGAAACAATGTGCTGAATGTCAACTTCTGTCACAACAGGCCCCCCATCCCCTGCCTCACTCTCCGCCTTGGTCATTTCTTTGTTTTTGTCTATAAGAGCAGATATCTGTGCCTTTAGATCCATTTCCGTGTCATGTAATTCCCTAGCCTGTATGTTAATTAAAGCATCATGAGATTTATCTGATAAAGCTGGGGATAGGAAATCCTGCTGAGCATTGCACTCAGCAACTAAACAGCTTAAGAATTAGCATAATAAT